CCCGGGGACGCGGCGGGCGGGCCGAGGGCGGCGGCGGCGGCGGCGGCGGTGGCGGCGGCGGGGTGCGAGCCGGGTCGGGGCGCTGACCGCCCCCGCGGGAGGAGGGGCACCGGGGAGGAGGCGGCGCCGCCGGGACCCCGGGGCCACCTGCTGGCGGAGCGCGGCCGCCGCCATCCCCGGGGGCCCGGGCAGCCGCCACCCACCGGCCTGGACGCGCGGCGCCCTGAAGAGGAGCCGGAGGCCGCGGCGCAGCGCCCTCGGCCCGGCCGGCCGGCCTTCCCGCGGGGACAGCGGGCCCGGCTGGACGCGGGGGTCGGGGGGTCGGGGCGCTGCTGCTTGGGGACCGGCTCTCGGCCCCGAGCTCGCCTGCCTGTCGCCACCGCTTCCCGGGGCCGAGCTTGTTATACGTAGTGCTGGGTGTCGGGGACCCTCCGGCCAGCCCACTCCTTGCCTTGAGAGCCTGGATGTCGGAGGGCCACACTCACGGGCTTCATGCAAGTTTTAGGAAACACACACACACACACACACACACACACACATAACTTACCCTCCGCGCTCTGCAAGGAAACGAGGAGATTTGAGAATTTACTGGTGAGAAGAGTATAGAAAAGAGTGAGCTTCAATTCTTCTTCACCAACAAAGAGGGTTGTAGAAAGATCCGGAGTTATATTCAAGGAGACAACTTGGAATGTGGGGCTTGGAGCGGGTGGAAGGAACGAGGGGTGCAACGTCAGTGGGTGCTCAATGGCATTGCTGACTCTTAGAGAAGAAACGGCCAAGGCAGGTGCGGGGCGTGGGGGGGCTCTGCCACCTGGTATAATAGTGCCAAAATAATTGACAGCAACAATGCTTTTATTACTTTTATATAACATTCTTCTCTGGGGAGTTAGGAGCACGCCATTTCCTTCTTAGAACCTCTTTAGGGTGGGAATGGAAGAGAATTTTACACCACCTGGGAATGGCAGTACAGGACAGTAATCTGACATGCTTAAAAGTACCTCACCAAACTGACCGTCCCTAGACCTAAATACAAAAGAGAGTAAAGAGATGGACAAGGCATTCAGCCCGGTGGCAAACTCACGTGGCCCCAAAAGAGTGGCGAGGAATAAGGGAAAAGGGTATGTTGATAAATGCGATACATTTCATCACAGGTCGCACTCAGAGGAGGAGACAGTCCCTCTGTTTAACTGGGGTACACGAATAGGACAACTCTGAGCAAGGGGGAAGTTGAAGGCAGCTAGGATACACAACACCAGGAAACAAAACCAAGGAATAAGGTAATCAGATAGTGGAAGCAGGGCCTGGTATACCTTCTAAGGTCTTTTTGTAAGGCAGTATGCCGCAAGTGAGGAGGCTGGGTGTTCTACCTGGCCAGGTGTGAGGAGAAATGTCCATTCACTTTCATTAAACAAACCTTAAACAAGAGGTTCTTAACCTTTTCTGGGTCATTGTTTCCTTGGAGATTATGTTCAAACCTAAGGGTCCTTCTCCCAGAAAATATGTAGAGGACACACAAAATTTTGTGGTTTTTTTTTTTTTTTTTGGAGTAACTTAGACCCCTTGGAGCTCTAAAAGGTAGCAAAAGAGATTAAAGTGATAAAAAGGGATTAAATCTACTATGTTATTTGGTTCTCTTCCATACCTCTTCCTTTCTTTCTTCAAAGCCAGGCAGTAAACATCTCATGATGTTTTGGGTGAATGTTTCTGAAGAAACAAGCATACCATTTTGTTATCTAGGCTGGGACCCTTTCTTTTTTGTGATGTTCACCTAAATGTTGTTCCCAAAACCACAAGGTTCCATACTATACTGGCTGAGGAACATTTAGGATCGTTCCTGCCTTGGAGCATAAAATGAGATTTTATTATGCTTAAACTCTGGTGAAATCATTGCAGGTGTCACACCAGGAAGAAAATCCCTAGGGGAGAGATGAACACCTTTGCATTTTCAGTTAGAATAGAAATATAAGTTCCATGTATTGAAGAAAGTATTTTTTATATAAGTAAGAATGAAATATTTTTTTAAAAGATTTTATTTATTTATTTGACAGAGAGAGATCACAAGTAGGCAGAGAGGCAGGCAGAGAGAGAGGGAGAGGCAGCCTCCACGCTGAGCAGAGAGCCCAATGCAGGGCTCCATCCCAGGACCCTGAGATCATGACCTGAGCCAAAGGCAGAGGCTTAAACCACTGAGCCACCCAGGCACCCCAAGAATGAAATATTTTGAAGTAACAATGTTTTTAGATAGTAATAATTTTCCTTGACCCTTTTTCCTGGCTCGACAAAGGTGGTCTATGAGTGAGTTGGTCTCTAGAGGCCATGGGTCAGACCTGTCCTAATAACACATAAAGAAAATCAACAAATATTTATTTTTTATTTTTCACATTGTGCAAGTCACTATGCCTTTATATAACAAAAGTATGTATTCATAGCCTTAGGTAAAGATTAATTATGATATTTAATAAAAAAGAGATTGCTTTATGGGGCGCCTGGGTAGCTCAGTGGGTTAAAGCCTCTGCCTTCAGCTCAGGTCATGGTCCCAGGATGCTGGGATCGAGCGCCCCCCCCCCGCCCCCCCGCCCCAATCAGGCTGTCTGCTCAGCAGGGAGCCTGCTTCCCTTCCTCTCTCTCTGCCTGCCTCTCTGCCTACTTGTTATCGCTCTCTGTAAAAAAAAAAAAAAAAGAGAGAGAGAGATTGCTTTAAGCAGTGGGTATCTGTGTTTGTTGCTTGAACTACTATAACAAAATACAGTAGACTGGGAGGTTTAAACTATCAAAATTTATTTTCTCCCAGTTCTGAAGACTAGAAGTCCCAGCTGAAGGTCTGGCAGGCTCAGATCCTGGTGAGAGCTTTCTTCCTGGTTTGTAGATGGCTGCTTTCTCACAGTGTCCTCACATCAGAGAGTTCTGATCTTTTCCTCCTCTTATAAGGACATTAATCTACTAGCACCCCATCCTTAGGACCTCATCTAAACCTAATTACTTCCCAAAGTCCCCACTTCTAAATACGGTCATATTGGGGGTTAGGGCTTCAACATATGAATTTAGGAGAACACAGTTCATTTCATAGCATTTTTGGTGAATTGAATCATTTGTATTGGGGCATCCTGGAAAGTCAGGTTGGAGATCTGTTAAGGTCATTTCTCTGCCTCAATAGTACAAAGCCCTGAAATGTTTTAGAACTACAGGTTTACATATTATTAAAGCTCAGGGAAAACTGATTAAATAACCTGTGGCTTCATGGGGGTCAAACATCAGATGACCATTCAAAAACTCAGTCGATTATGAAGATTCAACATAGATTTTAATTGTTGGTAAAGACATGTAATTTGGCCAGAAAACAGTTAAGCAAGCTTCATCCTAATTCTTAAAACTCTTTCGAAAACTCTGTCTTAAGAGAAATAGCATTATGAAATTTCCATCTTTAGTTAGATCTCTGCTTTAGTTAGATCTCTGTCCAATAGAAATATAATGCCAGCCATATAAAGAATTTAAAGTTTTCTATTAGCCACATTAGAAAAGCTAAAAATAAGCTGGTTAAATTCATTGTAGTATACCTTATTTAACCCAGTGTATTAAAAATACTATCATTTTGACATGTAATCAATATAAAAATATGAATGAGATATATTATGTTCATTTTTGTATGAAATTTTGAAGATGATGTGTATATTATACTTAGAGGACAGACAGATCAATTCAGATTAGCGAAATTTCACGTGCTCAGTAGCCACATATGGCTAGTGGCTACCACACTGGACAGCTCTGATTTATAGGAATTATGATTTGATCCATGCTATTTATAAACAGAGAGACGACTGCAACCTTATTTGTTTTATTAATAACTTTCAAAAAGGAGATAAGCAGGATGGTATTATTGGGCTTGAAACTTTATAAATCTTTGATTGGAGTTTCTGGAATTGAGTATCTTGTCCCAGGTACATTCTGGAATCCTCCAGGAAGATTTAATGTTAGGATAAACATTACTTTTTCAGTTGAATGAGAATTGCCTATCAGAAGGGTCATGGAAAGAGTGGGCAGCTCTACTTTAGTACCAATTATCGATTTATCAATTTGTTGCTGGCCTAACTCAAGTTCCTCTTTCATTTACTTTATGGGTTTTATTTATTGTATTTTACAAGAATGCAAGTTATATTTCTAAGAGATTACTTAAGTGAAAATGGTATCTTGGAAGGCTCCACAAATATTACCTTATATTGACAAAGGACTTCTCTTATAGCAGTGCAAAGATATTTTTACATTATCTAATACTCTTAGTTGCTATATGAGGATGGTAGATATTACTACCAAATGAGGAATTTGCAAATGAGGAAAATCCTAAAACTTTTTTTTTCTTTTTAAGGATTCTATTTATTTATTTGACACACACAGAGAGAGATAGCACAAGCAGGGGGAGTGGCAGGCAGTGGGAGACAGAGAAGCAGACTTCTTGCTGAGGAGACCCCGACTCGGGGCTCAATCCCAGGATGCTGGGATCATGACCAAAGCCAAAGGCAGCCGCTTTAACCAACTGAGCCACACAAGCATCCTAAAACTCTTTTTTTTAGTGAAACTTCAAAATGGTATACTGGTTATCTTAAATGTGATTATCTTAAATGTGATGCATTAGGGCGCCTGGGTGGCTCAGTGGGTTAAAGCCTCTGCCTTCGGCTCAGGTCATGATCCCAGGGTCCTGGGATCAAGCCCCACATCAGGCTCATTGCTCAGCAGGGAGCTTGCTTTCCCCTCTCTCTCTGCCTGCCTCTCTGCCTACTTGTGATCTCTGTCAAATAAATAAATAAAATCTTTAAAAAAAATGTGATGCATTAACCAAGGTGCATTTCTACATTTCTGTCGTTTCTTTAAAATAAATATTTAATGTTCTTTTTTATTAAGATCTAATTTATATTTGGTAAAGAATATAAATCTGGTGTGTACACTTCAATTCCTTTTACTTTGGTATACATCTGTGTAAACTCCCTCCCCCCAGATTAAGATACAGAACATTTCCAGCCCAGCAACAGGCTCCCCTATGGCTCCCCTACCCCAGATAATCCCCCAGGGAAACCACAGTTCTAACTTCTGTCACTATACCTCCATATGTGCCTGTTCTTGAACTTCCTGTTAATGGAGTCATAGCTGTTTTGCGTCAGGCTTCTTTTGGTCAGCGTCCTGTGTGTGAGATTCATTTATGTTGGCTAGAGGGACAGTTCACTCTTTTCCATTGCCATGTGTTATTTATTTTTTTTAAGATATTATTTATTTATTTGACAAAGATCACAAGTAGGCAGAGAGGCAGGCAGAGAGAGAGGAGGAAGCAGGCTCCCTGCTGAGCAGAGAGCCCGACTCGCGGGTCTCGATCCCAGGACCCTGAGATCATGACCTGAGCCGAAGGCAGAGGCTTAACCCACTGAGCCACCCAGGCGCCCCTGCCCTGTGTTATTTCATCATCTAAATCTACCACAGTTTTTTTTAATCCATTCTATTGTTGATGGATATTCTTGTACATTTGCTTTTGTCTATTTTAATGGAAGTGTATTAGCATACCATGTTACATTGGTTTGAGGTGTACACTATAATGATTTAACCATTCTATACTTTACTCTGTGCTCCTCAAGGTAAGTGTGCTCTTGATTACTTTTATCTGTTTCGCCCATTCCCAACCCCCACATCTCCTCCAGCAGTCACCAGTTTGTTTTCTGTTTTTAAGAATCTGTTCTTTTATTTCTCTCTCTTTTTTTTTTGTCTGTTTGTTTGGTTAGTTTTTTAAATTCGACATGTGAGTGATATCACATGCTGTTTGTCTTTCTCTGACATATCTCATGTAACATTATACCCTCCAGGTCCATGCATGTTGTGGTACCTGGCAACATCTCTCTCTTTTTTTTTTTAAGATTTTATGTATTTATTTGACAGCGACAGCAAGAGAGGGAACACAAGCAGGGGGATTGGGAGAGGGAGAAGCAGGCTTCCTGCCAAGCAGGGAGCCGGATGCGGGGCTCAATCCCAGGACCCTGGGATCATGACCTGAGCCCAAGGCAGACGCTTAACAACTAAGCCACCCAGGCACCCCGACATAGCTCTCTTTTATGACTGAGTAATATTCCATGGTATATCTGTACCACATTTCCTTTATCCTTTCATCTGTGCATGGACATTTGGGTTCCTTCCATATCTTGGCTATTGTAAATAACACCACAATAACCATTGGAGTGCATATGTCTTTTAAAATTAGTATTTTCATTTTCTTTGGATGAATATCCAGTCATGGGATTTTTGC